TATTTTCTTATTATACACTAATGAAAGCATAGTTATGCACATATTCCATTTCTAACATATTCTGCCAAAAAATCCCCCTAATTCTTACACACCGGTCCTTTAAGGCGCTCAAATACTGACATATTGTCAGTGAGAAAAAAACAAAATGTCAGTAATGTATCATATGACTTTGATTACAATAATTCCTGAACAACTGCAGCTTGTGCTCCTTTATACAGTGCAGCAACAACAGACTGATTAAAATGCACAGTGTGAAGGCACTGAGACTAACCGTATACTTAAATCCTGTATTCTCTACAACCAAGTATGGACGCATATCTGCAGCAATAAACACTCTATATCATGAGTTATTAATATGGTCCGAATTTGCAGTGAGGGGCTGCCTGAACGCTGTGGGGAGAAGGACTCGCCTTCCAGTCTGTTTCTGTCTGGTCGTAAACTGCCAAAATTTTCCAGGTAAAACTAGAATTTCTGTTTCACAAAAAGCAGACATACAGTAAACAGATTATTTTGACAGTAACTGTTTAGGTCACAGGGCGCACTGAACTGAGGCAGTCGCATACTGAACCGAACAAATACATGTACCTTTACACTACTGGCAACCCAAAAGCTGTTTTTATAACTGTAATGGTTTACAACTGATTTATTAATCCTTTTTTAAAGGTCAAGTGTGTAGGATTTAGTGGCATCTAGCAGTGAAGTTTCAAATTGTAACAAACTGAACACACTGGACCTTTAAATGGTGCCTTATTAGAAAGGATGGAACCAAAATACCACAAATCTCCAGAATATCTTTTGAAGAGACTATATTTTTGATAAATCCTCTGCAAAAGAGATGCTGGAATTTTAACAGCCTTATTACCCTCAATGAAGAAGGTTATACTTCATAAAGAGAAAGAACCCTTAATGTGTTAGTGTATTGTAAATATGTTTTGGTTACCTGAATTGACTTTGGCAGGGCAAGTGGATGACCTACCCAAAGCAAACCAATGTCTTACAAGAAAAGCGTCACACAAATGCTATATTTGTGTCCAATTGATCAAGTGCTTTATTAAACAGTCATCATTATTCATTCAGTCTGATGATAAAGGCCATGTGAGAAGGGAGTGTCTATATATTTGAATTGAATTGAATTAGAGTAGCACCATTAAATCCCTACGGTACACACAAGAACATGATGGGTCAGGAGAGAAACTTCCAGTTGAACGTGACTGATATTATCGTTCATCATCGTCCCTTAACTTACAAAATATTGATTCTGCTGTGGAGCTGACTTCCTATTCCTAATCCTATTTTTTGTATTTCCTTAATTTGGTCTCTATACTCACGTGTTTATAAATTGTTTCTCACATTTACTGTACTTTACTTGCACTTATCTTTAGATATGTCATATTGTACATTTATAATGGTGTAATGGGTACCTTGTAAATCCTATCAGCATATCTTAATAAAAGAAGTAAGTTAACATAACTTAATCCTACAAGTGCATTTAAATTTTTGCAATATTTTAAGTATTTAAATTATAATTAGTTTGTTCCATTGACAAATTTTCTTTAAGCCCCCAAATTACTTGATAATTGATCAATTGTAAATTTGCTTTATCATACTTCAGCCATTTTGACAGGTAATAATAATAATAATAATAATAATTCGCTTCAGTGGAAGTGGAGTAAATTCAGTCTGATTGGTAACATTTGTATAAAGAAGATGCATTATTACTTTACATATTCTTTACTAATTAAGATACTTTATTCAAATAAATTCTGTAAACACATTTTCAATTAGTTTGGAGAAATGCTGTATGAGTATACTTGCTAGTTTGAAGTACAATTAACTTAATTTACCTTTCCTTAACAATAAATGAGTTAGTTGTACTCAAAACAAATATTTTTTCATGCTTAAATTGTTTGAGTTAATAAACTTAAATGGTTTAAAGCAATCGGTTTACATCAGGTTTTGAAGTATAGGGTTCCTTGTGGGAAGGATTTTGTTAAAATATATCAAACTGTATTTCAAACTGTATTTCTTATAAGTTAATAAAAATACTCTATTATATACTACATTACTATATTATTTGTCACTTTGCTAATACTAAGAATCGTATTACATTAACCAGAGTGACAGAAAAAGTATTCAAAATGTGTTGCTTCTTTTACTTTACTACTCATTTTTTGACTTTAAAAAACAAAACAAAAAATGTACAGTGTCAGAAGTGCCGAAAATACAGAATGTTCCTCAGTGGAACTACTCCTCAGAGAAGTGTGTTTCCTGTCAGACTGCTGTTCTATGCTGACACCTACTGCTCCCAGCAGTAAACTGCAAATCAAACAGGAGATTCACTTCTTGTCACAAGACTGGAATATTAGGATCAAGACCAAATGCAAGACAGGATGAATTTGGTGATTTAATACAACCATTTGGACAGGTGCAGGTAAACAGAAACTTATCCAGGAAAAGCAAAACTGAAAAATCAAACAAGGCAATACAGGAAAAAAAGTAACCATGGCCAAACCATTAAGACACATTTGTGAAATCAACATTTGTGAATATTCGCCTTCCGTGCACTTCCATTCCAAAAAACCTTCGCTTCTGGTGACTAAGCAGATTCACAGCTCAGCTTTGCATGGAGTTCAACATTGGTGAACTTAGATTGGCAAAGCCACAGCCTCGAACTAACGTTAACAGCCAATCAATACTTCTACCTGCTCCATCACAGTTCTGTATTTGGCATAGTTGTAGGGCTGCAGCTATCGAATATTTTGGTAATCGAGTATTCTATCAAATATTCCATCGATTAATCGAGTAATCGGATAAAACATACTTTTGCTTAATTAAAGCCCGATTATAAATATACAATAGAAA